GCTGATTGATTAACAGTCACAGTAACAGGTTGTCGGACACCATTAGTACATTCGCCACACATGGGAAAATATTACTTATATTCTCGGTTTAGAGTCAATTCCCACGCACCTGGACTGTCTTGAATGATAAAGTTAAGGTTATTGGGGTCAGTAGGGGCTAGTCACCTTTTGTTTCAACGTCGTGGAAATATAAATAATGACTTATTATTATACAGCTAAACTAATCGACATGCCTGAAATAATTTGAATAAAACCCGTAAGCCTACATAATTTAATTATACGTGTAAAAGTTTGTAACGTTCAGGGACGAGGTGGAGCTAAACAAATACGAGACCGACCATAAAACTGGCGAACCACCGAAACTGGCGCCGCTATTGGCGAACCAACATCTTCGGTGCCATTCGAGCGAGCCACCAAAACCAGCGCCGCTCTTATACGATTCAGATAGACCCCAGATAGGCGCCAACCCTCACTACGCTTATCATTTTGACTAATTTTGTAGACGAAAATGTCAGTATAATTGAAAAAACAAAACAATTGAAAGCCTAGTTTTTGAAATGAGGCCATTCTGTCAAATTAAACAGAGCACTGTAATCTAACTAGTAGGCCTACCAGTATTTGATAAATTGATACACACAGGCCTACAAATAATTTGTCGATATTCACGTGGACTCATCCAAAAGTGTACATATTTCCAAAGGATTCATAATCTACAAATGGGAATATTTCCGGCTTGGGATATGGTTCGTTGTATATGTTTTAATTATATGTTTTAATTATATCGAAATTCTAGAGTATACAATATCATACACTAAATGCTCCGAATCGCGATATTGGCATCCAGCGAAACCAAACACCCCCCACCCCCCCACCCCCCTCTAACAATATCAAACAATGTCACGCGACAATATAATGGCAATGGTGGGCCAAGACGTACTTCAATTACTTGAACGCATTCAATTACTGGGTCAATATTTAGAAATCAATCGCTCCTATCAGATGCTTAAGCATACACCACAGCAAATAAAGCTATCTAAATAATATCGAAATTATATGGTGGTTGCCATCCTAAAATGTTCAGTCAATTATGCAGTGTGTTATATTTATCTACCAATAAAATTATCGTTTAAATAAGGATGGTTAACTATAATACAATGAATATTCTGTTTTCGCGCTAGTCACGAGTCATCAGATCTTTTGAATTGTACAAGGAAACAACCAGGTAGTAATGACAGTTGTTTTTTTAAATCATAAAGTTTTCTTTGAATTTTATAAAAATAGAGAGGGTTTTAGCGTCTTAATTGTATATTTAAATGTCAGTTCGAGACCATTCCCGCTTAATTGATAAGAGTTTTCTCCAAGGTCATCATGGTATTCCAGCTTAAATATCAAGATGATTTAATTGGGTCATCTATACTTGATTGTTTTCGTCTCGCCATTGCCTAAGTCAATAGTCAATAGTCAATCGGTGGATCGACAACTGTAGGCTATAACGTGCTATATAGACAGGAAAACACAGGACTGGGGTTCAGGGTCGGGTTATGCTTTTTGTGAGACCCGGGACAAATCAATGAAGGGGTTGAATTACGAAAATGCGAAAAAAAGGGTCAAGAACATTTTGAAAAATAGATTCGTTTTTGTGCTTTCTGGGGTATATTCTGGGCGAGTAACACAAGTAATATAAAATAGAAATATTGAACATTTTGTGTATTAGAACATAAGTTTCAAACATCAATCTAGGTACGAATACTAGCCAGTGCTCTTTAAAGACAAACAGTCACTATAATAAAATATTATATGAGAAACAATTAGCCAAAAGTCGACAAAGTTACGAACCCCTGTCAATTGTATCAATTCAGAAGCTTTTGTCGCGATTTGAGGGTTACCTTCGTATTTTCAAATCTAACTCTTAATTTTGTTCTAAGCCCAAATTGTGTGTGTGTGGGTATGTATGGGTGTGTGTGTGGGGCGCAGACCGTCTTATAATCAATCTGATAATAATTGTAGCTACTTGAAGGACCAATATATTTTTCAATTGATAAAGGGGCATGACTTCAACAGTAAATATCGGATATCATTGAGAATCAATGATCAATAGGATTCTTTGTCTCAAAGCACAAACACTGTGCATAAATTTAAGTCCACCGGGTGATAACTTTGGCCTCTAAATGAGCGCATCAAAACGTTAAAGCTATGTGGCCTGGGAGATATCGCAGTAAGTATATGGGTAATATCACCCATGAATCTATATTTCTCACGGCTTAATCCAGACTAATAAGTACTTACATTGATTATTTAACATTTGATTAAAAAACAAAATCAAAATACTAACGCTATAACAGATAATGTCCCGCCATGGATTTGGATTCAGTCAGATTCAAAACCGGCCAATCAATAAATGTTCGCAGACAACAAAGTGCGAACTGGGTAATTACATAACGAGCTGCATAGATCGATGAAATTTCAATTCCACATATTTTTGTAAATACTGAACGGAATTAAACCAGTTTCTACTGATATTCCTATTTTCACAATATTGTAGTTTCATGTGATCCCTGCTAAAATGACACATACCTTCGGTTTCCTCCCACTGCTAAAGACCCCTGCGTGCAAGCGAATTATTGAAATAAAATTGAACCATATATTAGTCCCGAAATGACCTAGTTTGTGTCGATTGGACATTAAACCCCATCTCTCTCTCTCTCTCTCTCTCTCTCTCTCTCTCTCTCCACAATTGTTTGTGGACACTATACGTACAGGTCACAATTTTTATCCTATTTTGACAAAGCGTGAAAAATAGGTTTATCTCCCAAAGATCTTGGTTCATTTCGATATTGGCATGTATCGGATCATAACTTAATGGATTATGTCCCCTAATTGTACGAACAATCACGTTTTTAGCTTGTGGACACTCTAAAGGTCAGAATTTTCACCCAATTTTGATGGAACTTGAAATGCATGTCTCAATATACCTTAAAATGTAGAATGAAGGGTATATCAGACTTAATATACCTTTAATGTAGATTGTTAGTAGGATCACATGGATTATGGCAGCCATTATTGTTTGATATAATGGTTTGTATCACACTTCAATATACCTTTATGTAGAATGTAGGTTATGGCGGCCACTATTGTGTAGTATATCAGACTTCGATATACCTTTAAATGTAATTTGTAGGTAGTATCATTTGGCGGTCATTAATATATAAAGTTTATTGTATTCACTTCGATGTATCTTCAAATGTATATTTTTGGGTAATAAAGGATTGCTATCACCTTGTTCATATACTTTTACTTATGTGTTTTTATTCTTAAGTTGTCAATAGTTACAGGAAAGTAAACTCTCCATATCTGTACTGTAGAAATTATTATCAAAGAAAGGACATTGGGGGAGAGAGAGAGAGAGAGAGAGAGAGAGAGAGAGAGGGTCCGTGTGTTTGTAGGCTAGATGACCATTACTGGTTAAAGACAAATTTTATTGCATAAAAAAGGCCACGGGGAGCAGCATACAATTACAAAGATAACATTAGAACAAACATACATAACAAAGTTCTAGTTTGTCAAAATAAAAGTTATGCGTCATCCATAAGAAAGCAGTGTAAGGGCGTAAACAGCGCGTGTAATTATACTAACTGATCGTAAAGGGAAGTTTGCGAAACAATTTCTCACACTAGACTAAGCACAGTAAGAATTTGTCATATTATATATGACAAAACTATGAAACTTTTCTATTTTAATGTGCAAACCTTTATTATATAATTAAGCATATCTAAGAAACTTTCTTTTTACTAATTTAAATAATGTATAGGATTCTTCGTTTTACTTATTTAAATGATTATCAATTTCATACAGATCGGATGGTAACTTTTGTCGTTTGAGCGTTCACATGGTTCAACAAAGTAAAACAAGGACCACAACTCTAGCATTAATTGGCGTAAATTTTTGAAATTCAAATGGATTCTTCATTGCACTAATGATAATGATGCATATCAATTTCATACAGATCGGATGATAACTTTTGGTGTTAGAGCGTTCACAAGGTTCAACAAAGTGAAACAAGGGTCATAACTCTAAAAGTCATTGATGGAAATTGCTGAAATTCAATAGGATTTTTTGTTTCACTAATTTAAATGATGCATATAAATTTTATACAGATCGGTGATAACTTTTGGTGTTCGAGCGTTCACAGGGTTATTGACGGAAATTGCTGAAATTCAACAGACTTCTTCGTTTCACTAATTTAAATCATTCATATACATTTCATACAGATCGGATGATAACTTTGTCGTTAGAGCGTTTAGAAGATTCAACAAAGTGAAACAATGGTCATAGCTCTAGACGCAATTAACGGAAATTGCTGAAATCCAATAGGCTTCTTCCTTTTACTAATTTAAATAATGCATATACATTTTAAACAGATCGGATGAGAACCTTTGTCGTTAGAGCGTTCAAAAGGTGCAACAAAGTGAAACAAGGGCCATAACTCAAGAAGAAATTAACGGACATTATAGAAATTAAATAGTATTCTTCATCTCATTAAAGTAAACAACATATATCAATTTTAAAACAATCAGGGAATAAATGTAATCTGTAGAGTGTTTACAAGAAACGACGTACCGACAGACGGGGGCGACGGCAATATACAACCACATTTCCATGTGGCCCGTGGGCTTATAAAATATAGCCGAATTATTATTCCTATATGTATAAACATGGGGATGTGAAATCAATAGAAACAAATTTAAACTACAAAATTAATGGCCATCTTCTAGACAGCTAACTTTATGTGCACTTTGTAATTTAGCGAGTGTTTAAGAAAACTCATATAAATGAGATACAGTAGTGTTATACTGTCAAATTGTCTTTCCGTCAGTTCCCTCTGACTTCTTGTCTTATTACGATAGAATAAATCGCAACAACGCCGGTTTTAAAATGTTATTAAAATGGTCGTGCTACAATAAATTATTTAGTTGTATATAAAAAAAAATCGATATATTTACCTGTAGTTGTGGGTTATATTCCGACGTTACGATATTCCCGTTACGACCTTTTCATAACAGTTTATCACAGAGCACACCGTGTAACTAGGTAATATACACGACAGTACTGAATACTACCTGTCAATAATCCCTCAGAGATTAATTAATCAGATAATTACCTAATGAGCTTTCAACAATGAATGATATAAGACTACCTTATAGACCTATATGCCGTCAATTTTTCTGGGACATGCTGTGACAAGTTCTAGCGAGATCGTAAACAGTAATACAATATATGTTTTGGTGTCTTTTACAAGTAGTGTTTACCATAAATAAGTTAATAAAATTCAATCAGCTCTAGTAGATATTTAAAATCTGATTTATGAAAGATTTTAACCAGAAATTAACAGTATTTCGTGCACGAAAATTTCACAAACCTTAGTACATCCAGCTATTATTGTTGGAAATGAAATCCTCTGTTAGACCACATTGGTTTGCTATTCACGAGTAATTTCACTATTATATCCAGGTATTATCAAGAACTCACATTATCGACATCTTTACTATATGGATACGAGTCCAATACTTGAAGCATACTTTAAATGTAAACCGCATAGACAGCTGTATCGTAACTGCCTAAAAGCTATTCAAGTGTGTACAGTAGTCCAACTCAACAAAACCCGACTAGTCGCGCAGTATAGTTGAATGAAGTATACACACAAAAGACGATTATAAAAGACAAGTAGACAACCCCTTTATTCCGCAATGGCTGTATATACACAGCCCACAGGTAAAACTAGAGCGTTACACATACTGCACACCAATAGTAGAAATACTATATAATTTATGGGTGTTGACGTACTCTTGTTGAAGGTGTCAAGACGCTCGAGAAAGAGCAGACAACTAGCTTATCATTTCATGTACATCAGAATGAAGGCGTATAACTTGTAGGTGATTGTTTTTTTAACTGGTATTTTTTTTTTATTTATGTATATTATATGAAAATTAAGATGTCGAGGAAAGAAACACAGTATATTGCATATATATATGTGTGTGTGTGTGTGTACATTTTATGTTTGTCCAATTTTATTTGTTTAATGTTTGTCTGTTAGAGTGTGGCATGTAAATGTTGTACCTGTTTGTCTCTATGTGTCGTTTTCGTACCTATTTTGTAAGAGTGTATATGTCTTCGTCTGCTTGTTAAATTAATGTCTATTGTCCAATTGTCTGCCCTTAATTGTGTCTCTATGTACATAATATTATGAACACAGCTCCCCAATTAATTCTACCTACGATACAAGGGCCAAAGCTATTTTTAATCTTTCTCCCCCTTTCTCTTTCTCCCCCCTTTGCATGGCTGGAGGGGGGGGGGCTGGATGGCCGAATGGTTAGCACGTGCGCGCTGTATCACGAGGCCTGTCATTGAGTCAACTGGCGTGGTTTCGAATCCCCGGTTGTACGTGACAAGGACTAGATTGCCTGTCCAACCCCGTGGGTTTTCCCAGGGTCCTCCGGTTTCCTCCCACTGCTAAAGACACCTACGCGCAAGCGAATTATTGAAATAAAATTAAAACCATATTATGTTAGCCCGAAATGACTTAGTCTGTGTCGAGTGGACGTTAAACCCCATTTCTCTCTTTCTCTCCCTTTGCGTGTCGATATTTGTTGACTTTTTGGTGTAGAATTGAAGAAAAGGGTTTGAATATACATTTTCTGCCAGGTTTTGATGAATATTAATGATTTTAAGGCGTACGGGTACAAGTTTTTCATGATGAACCTCATACGTGCTTTTGGGCAAGAGGTTGCCAAATGATGCTCCATCTGTGGTAGAAGGCGTTCTACCCAACGAAAATTTGGGAAAAGTCAATGGGGAAATCATTGGTGATCTGTGGCCATATTATATATAAAAATATCACCTTTCCGCTATTTTCACGCTAATCACCATGTAAATATGTAACTATATAATATATAATATGTCATTTTCGGCGATATCACTTCGGTGGAAGCGGACGTTAAAGTTATTTCACACACATTTATTAACATGAGAAGCCCATACTTAACTCTCTCGGTCATCGGAAGGTTCCGATTTTAAGTATAGATTATAACACTGCGGTCATTTACGAGATTAACCCTTCGTCACGGCACTAAATAAGGAATTATATGTAACACTTTCGTCTAGGACTTTCTTTGACTTCACGTTGTGGGATCAATTATTTCAATCATCAATTAATTGATTCTGGAACACCGTTTATGTTGTTACTAAGTTTATATAACAAATGCAGAAAACTACAATGGTTAAATACAGGAAAACTACAACATCTTTAGGAGTTATTAAAATATCCACGATCTTAGTTTAACATCCTTTATAACTCTGACCTAACGGCTTAAACATCACATTTTGTCTCTATCCCAGCCTCTCAGCCTAGACGGCTGTGGGTATGACGTTCCCTTAGGAACTCACGGATTATGTCTTCTCTGTGGTCTCATCATGATCTCTGACAGTATATCAAACCCGCTCTCTCCTATAGAAAGTATAATGCGTCAGCTGTTAGGGCGGGACAATTACCATTTTCGGGTAAGTGATTCTTATGGGCACCGTTTAACGTCAACATTATTCTATTTAATTGGACTAATCTGTGCACGAGATGACTGGACGATAGTTCCCTACTTCCAGCAATTGATACTGGCAAGAACTGTCTGTGAGTTAGTCTAAGAAACTTGAATCTTGCAGAATACCTACTTCGCCCATTTCTCGTTGTCCCCCATTTGTATAACAACATCAATATATTAAACAGAGCACATATAAAAGAAATAAAAGAACTAAAATAACCCCTATAGTATAACATAGGCTGTTAGTCTTCTGTTTAATGTAGGGGCACGAACAGACTCAGTGCTGGGTACATACGACGAAAGATGCTGAGTGGCAATGTGTTAGAATACACTTCATCCTCATAAGGTTGACTCAGACACGTGCTTGAAACTGTAACTGACTGGACGATAGTACCCTAATTCCAGCAATTGATACTGGCAAGAACTGTCTGTGAGTTAGTCTAAGGAACTTGAATCTTGCAGAATACCTACTTCGCCCATTTCTCGTTGTCCCCCATTTGTATAACAACTTCAATATATTAAACAGAGCACATATAAAAGAAATAAAAGAACTAAAATAACCCCTATAGTATAACATACGCTGTTAGTCTTCTGTTTAATGTAGGGGCACGAACAGACTCAGTGCTGGGTACATACGACGAAAGATGCCGAGCGGCAATGTGTTAGAATACACTTCATCCTCATAAGGTTGACTCAGACACGTGCTTGAAACTGTAACTGATTGGAAGGAGGTCATCAACCATACAGTAATGTTGTGATCATCTAAGATTTGATCGATATTACGATTATGAGAACTTTGCAACCTTGTTGAGAAAGTCTTATTCGAGAAAGTCTTCTTGTAGAATGTCTAATAGGAGCATTCTGTGATTATCATCGACATACACTAGACCAATGGTTGTTCTTCCGACATGTGTTACACTGTACCGTAGACAAGACATGCTTGTCTCTGTCATTTGGAATGATGTGTACCACAATTATTACATGCTGCAGTGTTAGTTTTAATCTCCTTTATGTGGGTCTGATCCAGTGGAAACCCTTTCTGGATGTCGAGGATCAGTGTACTGACTATAATCTGTTCTATCATGCGCTCATTCAAATCTGCTGACAATTACAGCGATTGACAAAATCATAAAGAAATGCATCAGTTTTAGGCGACTCAGTCGAAAGTGTTCTTTTGGCTCTAACTGGCAAAATATCACTTGGGGATTTTTCCTATGTGCGTCAATGAGAATCCACGAATTAAATCCTCTGAAGCCTTCATCTCCAACTTGAAGCACTCTCAATTAGGTAAAAAAAACTTTCTACTGACTTCAAAATGACTTGCACTATTTAAACTGTTGTTTTATCCGATTCTGCCACCATGTGATGGGCTCTTAGTTTAATAAAATACCAGTATACATGAATGACACGTTTATTTGTTAAGCTCGCGGCTGTACAGCAAAACGGGAAGTGCATACATAGCAAGAGTGTACAACTTTAATGTAAACACTGTGCTTAATGGGAGATAACTGAACATATCTGACCACATTGTGACATTAAGTATATGTTGGAGGACCTCTAATCTTCAGGAAAAATTAAATTCATTTGTAAATGCTGAACCAAAGTGTGAGAACTCTATATTACACTAGGGGCCTGCAAAATCTTAAGCATTGCAAAATGTGTCAGGGATAGATATGTTATAGATATGCAAATTCTACACATCATATCCAATATTTCAATAATTTTATAAAGGATAAGGAAAATTGACAAAGAAAGTATCAATGAGATGAAAGTCGACCGTGTATCTCTTATCGCTTCTACTCCAACCTGTAAGGGTAACTCGCTTTTTTTCGTCACTTCCCGCTTCTCCAAATCTTTGTTTCGTATCAACCGAAGCAAAAATATCTGTTAAAATATATTTGGGATTTGCTCAACAAGTTCTATCACATATGTAATATACTCTTCAAAAAAAGTAGGGGATATTGAAATACAAATATCTATGCAGGTTGTGATATGATAAATAGTCATGAACACCTGACATGCTTTAAGAGTATGTTCACAGATGAAGAACTTATCGCCCCAACATGCAACACGCAATGGCGCCATACACGTAGGAGTGGTTCATTGTCAAATTTGACACTTCAAGGAAGGGTTGATTATAACTACCACGTGCTGGTTTATCTATCCATGTTTGCTTTCCTATCAGTTCTTACATAAGATTTACTGTTTAGCGTATCTTTGCTTTAGTGTGTTACGTTTAATTTGATCGGGAGACGTGTTCGTTGACGTCAACGTCAACCGACAACACTGCAAGAATTGGCCGTGGCACTACAAGAGAAGTGGGTCAGATTGCCCCAAATCGTGATTGGATGGTTGATTAGGGGCATGCCACGACGAATTGCTGAATGTCTGAGGATTGGTGGAGCAACTACTCATTATTAAGACAAAAATCAAAAACGTCCATTTTCACGTTTGACGGTGTATCTCTTTGCGAGTGAAATGGGGCCGCCAGGTAAGCCGCCCATATGAACTGTTTATGTTCATGTGTAGGCAATTGGCCTGTTATTAACATACACTGGTTACCTTTAATAAAAGCATCGGAGCATTACCTCAGTTTGGTATTGTTTCTGAATATCCTCTACTTTTTTTAAGAGTATATTAGTGGACAACAACATTGTCCTTTAGGGCTTTAACTCAAGCTAAGGGTCGTATGTATTGTATAGTATCGGATCTAGTAAAGCATTTGATTGCGTTAAGTATGATATTTTGATATATATGCTGTTAAAAATAACGTAAGTACCCAGAGTTTTAATGTATTGATACCTATGAATTCACAATGAAGTGCATGTGTGTTAACAATAAATGGCGGCCCGCAAAACCTATAGTTTAACGTATCGCATTATTAAACATACATAAAGGTTATACTCCGTGGAGTGTTAAGAGATACGCTCATACAGCAGCTATTGTCTCGACAGCAACTTAACCCAAAGGAAACCTTGGATATTGACCAAATTTGTTCAGGATCCTTTATGGCTTCAAAAAATCTGATCTCTATGTTGTTCACAAGCTTGAACAAATCCGTTAAAAACTGTAGTCTCTATCGCATGAACTGGGTTTTCGGAAAAGGGCGCAACTCCGGAACGAAATGCTTCACTCAAGATTTGAAACAGGTCCATAAAGAATGCAGTCTCTATTATGTACATAGGGTTTTTGGTGAAGAGAATAGAACACCGGAATGCTGAATGTTGATAGGCATTGCTTCATACCAAACTTGAAAACAACCCATTAAAAACTCTAGCCTCTATCACGTTCACAAGGTTTTCTGCGCAGGGTAGCAACTTCGCAAAATGTCCGTCCTTTCCGTAGTTTGCATTGCGTTTACAGGGTTTTCGACAAAATGGAAGAATACTAAACGCTGAATAACGATAGGGTTTTTCCTCCCATGACCACAATGCTTCACACCTAATTTGACGGTCATCTGACGAAAACTGGGCCTCTTATCTTGATCACACGGTTTTCAGAATGGGGGAATGACTCTAGACGGAATATCGATTTGACTCAACCATTTTTGACCACAATGCTTCACACCAAATTTGAAAAGAAATTTGTTAAAAAAAGGTGTAGATTATATCGCGGTTACAAGATTCTTGGCAACTGGGGTAACTCTGATATAAAAGGTTTGCGGAATGTTGAATATCGATAGGATTCGTCCTCTCTGTCTCTCTCTCACCCCAATGCTTCAAACCATATTTTACAAAATCCCGTAGCTTCTATCGCCGTCGCAAAGTTTTAGGAAAAGATGGATTGTAGCAAAGCAGAATTTTAATATGTTTATAGGTTTTATTATGTCAAGTAATATAGTGAATTGAGTAAGTGCACCTTTAAACTAACAAACTGACACTAATTTTACTTGCAACTGGTCTATAATAACATCTCTCCTTTAACTTGGCTTGTTAACCTGTACTGTTTTCTTAGAGCCCAAATCTTGGGGTGAGTATAATTCTACTCCCTTGGTTACAAGCAAGTTTTCTTTTTATCTAAACCTCACTTTGTACATCAGACATTAGATAGATTTCGAAGTGTAAGGACAATTTGATATCTTCAATCAAATTGTTTAACTTTATTTTCCAAATCTAGTTAGGTTATTTTCAGAGAATTGTTCCAGTTATACTACTTCAGTATTACAGGTATGTGTGCTAATTCACTTATTTTGGGTAATTGGGGTTTAGATGGAGCGGATGTAGGAATGATAGAAATTGTAATATTAAACAGCCATTTTATTTAAATAGATAGAAAATAACATGTAAAGATCATTAGTTTTTCATATATACATATATATATATATAGTAGATTATAAGGCACCGTTTTGAAAGTATATTGTATGTATAATCAGAATAATGTTATTTTCCAGAATATAGTTATCTGAAGATTTTGTTCACCATCTTGATAGTCTTATTTAAAAAAAACCCTTCTTTGGGTATGTCATCAATTACTTATATTATATTTAGTATAAACTTAAGGCATATTTAATATATTTAATTTAATTAGTGATGTATTTTAGTGTATAAAATATTGATATATTTCATCATTAAGTATGCATGCCTTACTATTATTTTATTGTACTCAACTGTTACTGTGATATGTATATTAATTTTAATGTATATATATTTCAGGGTTTTTTAATAAAGGTTTAAAAACTAAACACCTTAGTTTTTATTGAGAATTTACACCCCCCGGTTACAGGATAACTTCGGAACAGAAAATTGCGGAATGCTAAATATCAACAGGGTTCATTATCTCATGACCCTTATGCTCCCTCCCAAAAAAATCGACCGCGTTCACAAGGTTTTCGGAAAAAGGGATATAACTATGTACGGAAGGTCGCGGAGCCTTGGCATAACGATGACCACAATGATTCACACAAAATCTGAAGAAAAAAATCAGTCAATCTAATTGTTGACGGACGGACCGACGAACGAAAAGAGGACGAACTTATATTATATTTAGTATAAACTTAAGGCATATTTAATATATTTAATTTAATTAGTGATGTATTTTAGTGTATAAAATATTGATATATTTCATCATTAAGTATGCATGCCTTACTATTATTTTATTGTACTCAACTGTTACTGTGATATGTATATTAATTTTAATGTATATATATTTCAGGGTTTTTTAATAAAGGTTTAAAAACTAAACACCTTAGTTTTTATTGAGAATTTACACCCCCCGGTTACAGGATAACTTCGGAACAGAAAATTGCGGAATGCTAAATATCAACAGGGTTCATTATCTCATGACCCTTATGCTCCCTCCCAAAAAAATCGACCGCGTTCACAAGGTTTTCGGAAAAAGGGATATAACTATGTACGGAAGGTCGCGGAGCCTTGGCATAACGATGACCACAATGATTCACACAAAATCTGAAGAAAAAAATCAGTCAATCTAATTGTTGACGGACGGACCGACGAACGAAAAGAGGACGAACGGACAAGGCAACGACATAATACGCCTATGCAGAAATGCGGGTGCACAAATAGATGGTATTTCGTCGCCTATGTTATTCAGGAGACTTCGTTGTGTTTACAAAAAGATCAATAGATGTTGTTATGTGTGATTGAGATGATTGCGTTTTCATTGGTTGTTTTCAGTATGAACAGAACACACTATTAACACTTAATACGTAAAATATGAAATCCGAAATTTAAAATGGAAGTAAACGAATGAAAAAAAAAATCTCATTTTAATCATAACGACACATTTTTAAAATTAAAAAAAAAATATTTTATTCAAAATTTATATATCTTCTGTTGATGTGGTATAGTAACTAGCATGTGTGAGAAAATGTGTGGCTGCCACCATCTTTCAGGGTTATTTCATTGTGTTCACAGAATTTTAGCCTAAAGGATAGAAAAATAAAACGGTTCCACTGAATACTATTATTTTGACAAAAAACAGTATAGTCAATATATTAAATCATAAATAATTTATATACTACATTTTACTGTGAACAGCAATTTAGTAAATAATGGGTTACTCTATAAAGGTCAGCTGTATTAAGACATTTATTAGTACGTTTGAGTTAGGACTGTTTTGTTCTTGCCAAGTTGTCCCTACTCGCCACCTGGTTGTGAAAAAACATTTTTTTAAAGCCTGGACACGTCACTGGGTATATTCAAGCTTGCCGGGGCTGGCAGAAAATTCTAAAGACCTGTACAAAGTCGATAGTTTCCATTTATTTTTCGACATAGTCCCCTTCGATGCGTATACAACTTTGCAAAAGATATTACAAGGCCTGGATGCCGGTCAGGAAGAAATTGCCTTCTGCCACCCTAAAGAAGTTGGTCACAGCTGACATGTCGTCATCACTGCAATGACGACCGGTTAGTTCCTTTATCATTTTTGGAAATAGTTGCAAGTCTGACGGGGCCAAAAAGATATCAGGATCTGCTTTAAAACGGCACAGTTTGTCATGGGACGTCAGGAATCTGACACGTTTCTGATTCGCCGTCAAGAGCTTTAGCACCCATCTTGCAGAAACGTTTGTAATTTCAAACTCGTTGGCGATAATGTGCTCAACCTTGGCAATATGTCGAGTGGTCAATCGTCGATCAGTCATCGCCATGTCATGCACCCGGGAAATGTTTTTTCTTGAACACTTAAGTTCCGCAGCCCACTTCTTTACTGTGGAAAAGGAAGGGGCATGATCCCCTAAAATGGAGACTACGTTGGCATGTATTTGTGTTGGGGTTAGTCCTTCCAGTTGCAGGTAACTGATGAATACCCTATAGTCAGTTTTGTCCATTTCGGGTGATTTCAACGAGTAGGTTCACAAGATGATCTGGTTGCAGTTCTTGTGTTTATAATCCATTCAGTGATTGTACCTGTTGGTTGCTTATCTTTTATTTTGCCATACATAGAATGACTATTTTTCTAGATTGATTTTGATTGATTAATTACTTACAAATGACTAGTTGATAAATTTCTGATAGAGATATTCTTCACTTTGATATCATTTGGTGTTCCTAGAGCTGCTAGACCAGAGCCTCGTTTATATCTAATGGCAATCTTGGATACGCTTCCTACGCTACCATGACCAGCTATGACGTGTTTCTCTATTTGATTTTTCAGATAATGACGATTATCTCTACAAGAGATAAATAGAATAAGAGTAGGGTAAAATATACAGAAATAAACGAATGGTAGAACAGTGATTCAGTATATTATGCTTAATAGGCTACCACCCCAGTCTTATACGGAATAGGGTGATAAAAGTCCGAGTAATATTAATATGCAAATAAATTCTCCATTTAGGTTGGCCTCATTGAATAATAATCTTTCTGGGTACGACTTTTTCTAAGCTGACAATACGTCTAAGCTGGGTGAACCAGTCTAAAGATTACCTGCTGAATTCTAGTTCAGAAGTAGAACCATGGCTACCCGTAACGGTTATATAGAATCTACCATATGTATCAGGCATCTGAGAACCAACTTGCAATTCTACATAAAACTCGCTACCTGAAATTTAAAAAAAATCCAACAACTGTAATAACCAATACCAATAACAACCATGAACTACGATACTCTTGAACACCAACATTAGTAAATAACAACGGCAGTCATAAATAAAAACCACAATCGTTAATGACCGTGATCAATAATTATTGTCAACTACAATTATAAACAAAAGACAACACACGAAAACAACACACAATCTAAAACAACACCTGCGGGGGGTGGGGGTGGTAAACAACAGTACACATAAACGCTAACAATAAACAACAACTATATCCACAACATATCTAAACAACAGGACCAATCTTAACCAGGACCAATACTACCTTAAACAACAATAATAACAGTAATAAAATAAAATTAAAATAGTTCAACACAACACTTCCGTCTTTCTTAAAATGACATACCGTTAATTTGTTCTTTAATAGCGTGCGCAATGCTAGGGGCGAAATTTAACTGAATCGTGGCGTTTTTGACTAGACTTCATCAAACTACAACTATCAAGGTTTATTTTACGATGTGTACAAGGACGTACACAGGATTTTCATACCAACTGAAAAAATAGAAGCTCCGTACTTGTCCAAACCTTGGAATTGGGTTTAAAAATCCCGACATTATTCCCTGACCTAATTATGATTCTAACCGTAAAGTTCAATATCGAATCCATAATTGACTTGTTTTCGTTAATAAAAGTCCACCATTCCTATTCATAAAAACTTGAACTAAAATATTTTAGATGCCTTCTAATGTACAAAATGTGTTTTGATAATTATATTTGCACTAAAACATATTGAAACTAATATATCTATCAACAAAGGTTTGCTTCAAATCCCTCTCAACAGATTTTGAATACTCCAAGCCGTAAACATCTAATTAAGCAGCTTTGTTTAAGGCCCTGTCCCACTGCACTTACGGATGCAAAGAGGATGTAAAACGAGGAAAACAACTTGCCCTGCGTTTGAAAACTCCATGCATCCGTTGTGTACTCATTGCATACGTGTTTCATACGCTCTATCCATCGAGCATCCGTTCACTTTGATTTCATCCGCGAAAAAAAGTTTTGAGCTGCACAAAACTTTTATAACGGATGAACTTTCTGCCGTGTACGATGTAAATGCGCGACATATACGAGCACCAAACGTTCCATGTCCGTTATCATCCGTTAAACGTTCACTGTATCCTCTCTGCATCCTCTGGGCATCCTCGCAACTCGCAGCTGAAAACGGAAAGAGGGAGGACAGATAAGGTACATGGAACGTCTATACATCGTTAGTAGCACGGAAATAGAAAGGATGTAAGCGTGTGCATCTCGTATATAAAGTTTTCAAAACGGACAAAGGGTTTGTATCTGGGATGTATCTGGTATATTGAAGGATGTCTGGAGTTGGCCTAGGGTATGTAGAAGCCCATCGGAGCTGCCATCCACTTCCATCCGCTTTCATCCGCTAGGCTTCCGATGAACATCCATTTAACATCCCCGCTACATACTTCCCACGTTCGTTCTTTTCCGTTCAATTTTGTCCATTTCTGGAGCGGATGAAAACTGATGGAGCCACCCCCGAAAGTTTGCTCGTCCGCTGTGTCCTTTTTGCATACGTTTTGTGTCCAACAGCCACTGGGATCGGGCCTTTATAACGTGACGTCGACTGGAATTAGTAGTTACTCACGGTACGTTTACCATAAATATTGAAGCCATTTAATCGCATAGAGATTGTTGTTCTATCAGCGCTGGCCATTCGATCAACACAAATTTTTGTTCCGCGTGAAGGGAGCCTCATCGGTGTTTTCAGGGAATCCAATATTGTCTACTAAGATCAGAAGTCTTTACTTTCCATATATACAAAAATCGCCACATTTAAAAATATCAAATGTTCAATGGCTAAGCACCAAAATCAGAATAGCCGACATATTTTAGTTTAAGTTTTCTTGAATAAGGTCATTGGCCTAACAACAAAGGGTTTTATTACAGGACTACCGACAGTACCGTCTACTTACCACAATATGGTGTTTTCTGTGCTGTACTAAGATAAAATGAACCACCGCCATGTTTAAGGTCGGCATGAAAACCCATATTTGAACATCCTCCACTACAACCATGGCATTTTCCTGACTCGTAGTCAGACCACGAATGACACTTCTGGCCCTGGAATTTACAACTGGAGGCGATGGATTCCTGGAAAAGTTCGTGGGCTCGCCCATGGCTACAAGAAACGGCATGAGTTACTTCTGTAACGAGAACATCAATATTTAAATCTGTGGCACTTTTTAACGAAAACTTTTAATTAGAGTAACACACATTAAAGACCATCGACATTCCTCTACACTCTGCTTATTTGAATTTATACTTGGAACACCAAGCGGACGGAATGGCTCTCTATGAAATAATGAAAGCTTTTGTTCTCATTAAGATGTAATATTTGATAATCATGCCAGTGCTTTGGAATATTTCGTTTCTGTGGAATCAAAATGAATAAAATATATATTTATTGGTCACGGCTATATCTGTAAACATTTAAATTTTATTCATATTTTCATAGTTAGTTAATCAAGTCGATTTACATAGACAGATAGAGATATGGTTATTTGGGCATTATAAAGGTACAGTGTTTCTCAATTTACAAAAAAAATCATCCAATTCTTTCATGAGAAATATTATTTTAATTCACTAAGGTTGCGAGTGTAGTAGGGGAGGTCGCACAACGGCGTTTCCCTCTACTTTTTTTCTAATTCAAATTGAAAAGGTGTCGTTTACGTGCACTACCAATTTGTACATAGAAAATCAGGTTCTCGTCCAATCCAAACGACGAGATACACTGTCAGTGGCATAGACCCCGTCGCTTACGAAACAACCACTATTTCACTTTGATATTTTGATATTATGCCGGTACCCGGATGAGTTAAGTTCGAATTACTCCTTTACTAATTTCGAAAATTTTGAAAAAAACATTTTCGGAAGAGAAAAAGTTAATTTTGTTCGGCGCGGGTACGAATGGCGATTACACGAACGCCCCACCCTCATCTCTTAAAAGTCTCACTGCGTCAATGGTAATACCATGCAAATTCCAATATTATTGTGAAATTGAAATTTGATATATCTATGCTGCCACCATTTTGTTGTCCGCGAATATTTATTGATGAACCTATTTCAAATCCAGTGGAATCCATGCCTGGATATTATCTAGCTTTCGTATTTTGATTTTGTATTTTAAATTAAATGTTATATAAAGAAACGGTACATATTAGAGTGGATTAAGCCTCGTGAAATTGGATATTTTAGAGAAAAATGCAAATAACGCATATCTGACAATTCAAAAATTGGCTGTCACCAGATAAAAAAAAACGAGGAAAATAGAAAAAGCCCGTGCATTCCAATGTGTTTATAAGGTATAGAATGAATAAAAACAAGTGAATGTATGGACTATTTCTATTTTTCTCGTTTTTTCTTATCTAGTGACAGTCAGTTATTATTTTTTTTTTGAATTGTCAGATATCCTCTCACAGTCTCACATAACTTTTGATCTTCGAAGTAATTACTAGTGAGCAGAAATTCTACCGTGTATCTGTTATCACTCGTCACTTCAGTCTGTTATATAGAAGGATAACTCGGGTTTTCCTTTTGCGTTCGTCACTTCCGATTGTTGAAACCTTCATTACGCATCTATCGTAGCAATGATCTCTGTGTTAAAATTATATTTGGAACGTGTTTAACGAGTTCTATCACATATGTGATAATGATTGACACCAATATTGTCCTTTAAAAAACCCATTTTCAACCTGTAAACGTGATAGCTAAGTTCAACTCAGGTTAACTAAGGACAACCAAGGTCAACATATCCAATCCGGTACAAGGCACTGCAGTCCTCACATTTAAAAAAAATATAGACCATGTGAACATTGAATTTTAAGAAAAGAAATCGTTAAAGCCCCACACATCAAAACATCCTTTCACGCCATCAATCGTGTATTAGCGAAATACTACTATTCAGATAAAGACATGTTTTCAAAAAAGCTGCATTCTATTTAACCTCATACATCATTAAAATGGAATTATTATAGATCTACTAATCCGATTTACATATAAGGCGCTTGATAAAGAAATTGTCCAAGGGACAGTTCGCCCTCAAGGATTACAACTCTATTCAGTTTACTAAGGAGGCATAAATTTGTTCCCAAAATTAAGTCCACCATTAATTTAGCCATTGATTTGCTTGTTAATTCCGGTTTCTTAGTAACACTTTTGTAGAATTTTTGCTCTTAAAATTAATGATGGCATTATATTGTATTAATTAATATCTATGGCAAGTTAGTAGATTCACCTATATGTACTTAAATCAAGTTAGCGAATGAGTGGCATATTGTTACATAAAAAGAGTCATAGTGTGATAATCTAGGTTCATAATAGATATTTTGTGGGAAATTTCTCCGGTAAATTTCCACTATCTAATTAGTGGAATAGCTATGAATTTATACTCACGTGACACATCTGTACCGTGTAATAAAATATCTATAGCACTACCTATAGGGTTATCACTGCATCCTGGTTGATCTGTTCCGCCATTAGGATAAAAATCAATATGGCCACTAGCTTTAATCCATCCATAGCCTAAAATAGACATAAATTATTCCTGTGAACTAGTTTATATCTACATTTCGGTCCTCAAGCTATCAAAAGTTTGTTTTTGTGTATGAGTGCCGTTTGATTTCACGAGTATGGAAACTTCCCAAATAATGAAAAGTTCTATCGAGTGTCCATTAAAGTGATAATTTGGAGAAATGATATGACATACATTGCGTTATAAGAGAATTGTTAATCTGGAGTTCACGATATGCCAACCCAAATTCAGTTTTATTACACTGGAAATTTTGAAATGAAATGAAAAGTAATGGGATTTAACGTTGTACTTTTCTGCGCCGACTGGGTTAATGAATACATACGAACGCCATGCAGTGTGCTATGAGGGAAATTTTGGCCGGATAGCAACCTTACGGCCTACTCTTATCTCAAATTCAAACTGTCAATGGTTCTTTTACTTGCACGCCAACGTGACCACGCTGGAAAATCCCGGACCAACACCGGAATTTAACAACGGAACCTCCTGGATTATGAGCCATCGCGGCTCCCTGTAAATTTTGAACGAGTCCAATCAATCAGATTAAAACACAGATCCTAATTCATTTCGTTTTTTATAGTTCAAAATTTCGTTTTACTTGTCTTTACTACACTAGGATCTGGAAGAGTTGTTATATTACCGGGGTTCTGCTTGATGTGAGGGATTAGCTAATGAAACGGTGCGTCACGGCGAGTACTTGGCGTGCGATGCACGGAATTGTGGGTAAAGCAAAAGAAATGTTAACGCTGATTGATTAATCAATGTTTGACGCCATAGGTTCAAAGGCAACTCGTACGACCCCTGACGCGACCTTCCAGTACAACCGGTCAGATTTTCATGTATTGTAGGCCATTTTTTTGTGCACACGGGCCGATATTTTTTGCGTTTGGGAGCATTGTGTGAAACAATAGTTCATAGTATTGCATAATATATTGAGCGGCATGGAAAACGCATCACATTTTTTCCCAAATATTTTATTACTAGGTGGTTTTGTATGTATAATATTATGCAATACTATGAACTATTGTTTCACACAATGCTCCCAAACGCAAAAAATATCGGCCCGTGTGCACAAAAAAAAATTGCACGAGATGCACATGAAGCATTGTGTGTGAGCCCTTTAAAAGCATGTTTTCAACTTAATGTGCAGTACATGAACTGTGAAACGTCAATCTGTCGTAATTTGTTGTTGGACGTGTGAAGGAATCGAGATAGAGATGCAGAGACTTACTGAAAATCAACGGAATGAAGCCATGGGAATGTCCCGGGCTGGCATGTCTACACGTGCTATTGCCAGACACTTCAATTGTCATCAGTCCACTATCGTAAGGTTGGTGGAACGTGTTCGAGTTGATGGATCAACACGTGACCGTCAACGTCCTGGTCCACAACGCGTTACAACCCAGGCTCAAGACAGCTACATCCGGGTCACTCATCTGCGTGACAGATTCCGCCCAGCGACTCGAACAGGTGCAGCAGTCGTCGGAAGACAAGGACCAGTAAGTGCCAACACCACAAGACGTCTTCTAAGAGAAGTAGAACTCCGTGCATGATGACCTTATGTTGGAGCTATCCTCAGGGATCATCACCGTCAGCGACGTTTGATATGGGCTCAAGGACACCAGACATGGAGAAGAGTAGACTGGCAAAGTGTGCTCTTCAGTGATGAGAGTCGCTTTCATCTTTATCACGCTGATGGCCGTCAACGTGTGTGGAGACGTCTTGGGGAACGTCTTGCAGACTGCTGCGTCTTCTAAACGAATCGATGGGGTGGGGGGAGTGTAATGGTGTGGGGAGGCTTCACATTTCATCACAGGACCGCCCTACACATTTGCAGGGGTCGCGTTAATGCTGTACCCTACCGTGATGATGGCCCGTGGAGGACACACGCGCTACTGACATCTGTGTCGTACTTTTGGTTTTGACCCCCCTGACTTTGTACCCTTGATTACAGATTAAACATCCATAAGTGTACAAATGTGTTGTTATTGATGTGTTCCCATTTGAATATTGTTCACAATAAGAAGCAAAATAAATAAGATATGTTTACAGGATCATTTTGTTATACGAAAAACTAAGTGAATCGTTTTCCATGGCGCTCAGTACTAGTTGACACCGATTCAGACCAGTATAAACTAACTGTTCATTAAGGTTAACCGGTACGTGGGGTCAAGTCTACCACCCGTGTGGTCAACAAACCAAGAACGATTTTTTTTTTCTACAGTAAATAAAGCGATAGCGAACTAGGCCCAAATAATATATCAGTAGCCTACATTTTCAAGTAGCAAGTATCGGGCAGTGATAAAAAGATAACATTAAGAGAAGTATGCCAAATGTAATTTACACAAAAATAACATTAGAACTAGGCCCAAATAATATATATGAGTAGCCTCCATTTTCAAATGACTGAATAGCGATACAATTCAAAGACCTGCATAAACGGGCAGTGGTGAATGAGTTCATTTTGAAATTTAGATAGAAATATGCTCAAATAAGTAACCTAGGTGCTTTAAATTATAAATAATAAAGTTCCACAAACCTTAAAATGCTATAAATTGATCTGTCCCAGGTTAAAAGTAACAGCCTATCGATGAGCGTTATTAAATAAATTCCAAGCTTGATTCAATTGTTTCACAATTTGTCAAGACTGCTACTCCCGTTAGGCGACGTTAACATAATGTGGAACACGGCGACGACTGACGTCATTATAACCAGTTAGTTCGAATATACTTTACCGTAAACGTTCTAACAGTTGAACTTTGATAATAGATTTTAAGTTAATCCTTAAAATCATTTTAAAAAAAGGCGTTCGCATTACCGCTGTGAAACAGATTGCCTGCGTTCCACTAAGAGCAATATTAAGATTGTCTCTAACCATCTTTTACAAGGCCAAAACAATTAAAATTCAAACATTTGCTTTGCTTAATTTCTTACATCAACTTTTTTGTCAAGTCAGGAGGCTTGAAAGAAATCTACTATTATGTGAAATATGTTGCAAGTCTATTGTCTCATAATTAGTGGGGCGGTATTTTGGGCTCTCCATTTTTATTTGACAAAATTTGCCTTTTATAGCATAGCACATTGCATGGCGTATGCTCGTCACAGTTGGTGCAGAAGAATGACGTTAAACAAAATTTCATTTGTTTATCGACAGCTCTGGAAAAAGAATTCATCGGTTTTTAAACCCACTGGAAACTGCTCCAATTTTCATCTACGGCTATGTAATTTCCAAAATTTTACAGGGCCCTTTCGAACGAGTCGTCCCCGTTTGCCAATCTGGACCATAATATTCTACTAAATCGGCTTTCTACCGATTTTGGCATCGTTGTCTCGGCTGCAAAACTACTGTAACTACACCTTGAAAATCGTGGGCATTGTGTTGTCATTGATGATTTCAAATCAAAGAAGGAGTACCCCAGGGATCTGATTTAGGTCTTAATTCTTTTTAGCCTGTATACTGTACCGGTCGGTTTAACTGTCAAGAAATATGGCCTTCTGCTCCCTATATGCAGATATATATATATGCTATTTTTATAAACCCGTAAATAATAATTCTGATCGTTCAAGATGTTACATTGAAAGCTGTAGGTATATCGGAAATTAAATCATTGATGTCATTGAAGTTGAATTCTAAAATTTATGTAAACCGTGTTGAAAATCGTTGGTATTCTCATTTAACGACTGATCCAAAATGGCTTATCTAAAGTTTAGTTAGCAACGATATAAACACAATCAACTGTTTTGGGGGTGGTTTTTTTTTTGTTTTTTGGGTTTTTTGGGGTTTTTTTTTGTTTTTTTTCAACTCAAATTTGGCTAAATTGGACGACTTTGGTGATGAATGTGCCTCAAATTAATGAATTTGCACTCAAACGATCCACAGCTCTCTTTGTCTCCAGATTATTTCATCATACATTTTACTTCAAGGAACTAAACGTATAACTGACCCAAAAAGACTAGCTCACTGCAATCCTATGCATTTGCGAATAAATAAATTTAATATATTTAGTTATAGAAATTCAAGGAAAGACTCTCTCGTAAAATTCGTGCCCCAAGTAAACAATGACATACAGTAACTGACTTGAACGCTGCATTCTATACCATCGATCAACAAATTCCACGCAAAAGAGTGTCTCTAAGATTCGGAATAGCCAAAAATTTGTTCTTAAATAACGCCAACGATGAACTGGTTATACTATTGTGAGGTAGTTTGTTCCAGAGAAAGGGAGGCTTGAGTTTGTAGAACGTTCTTCTAATCGGCATGGGTCCGTTGAAGATCTGAGATTTCTTTTTGGAACATAAACTTCGAGGAAATAAGTATACGGAAATACATGTAATACGAGATGATAGTTTGGTTTGTGTTATTAACCTGGCTGTATGATCAACACCAGAGAGCACGAATTGATCATGTTTTTGTTTTTAACATATTTTGTGATATATTTTCTATTCTAATTTACCTTACATAATTGTAACGCGCTTTTCATACAGTTTATCATACTTATTTCATCGAATAAAATACGACTGTTCTTAGCTGATGAAGATGGACTTATTTGACTCTCACCAACGAGAATTAACGTACATGTATTGTTGGTCACTTTTTATAGCTGCCGTTTAGAGCCAATAACACTTATTCTGTTTTCCCAGAATTCAACTTGATGACATCCATAATTTAATTTCCGATATACAGTTTTCAATGTTGCCGTTTGAACGATCAAATTTATTATTTACGTGTTAAAAAGAACAGTAAACTGCGTGTTATGCGCATATGGATGGAACAGGAGGCCATATTGTTTGACAATAATTACTGAACCGAGCGGTTTAGTATACAGACTAAAAATAATTGGACCTAAAACATATCCCTGTCGTACTCCTTGCAGCAATCCAACCTTCTTTGGTGTTAAACCATCAACGATAATAAATTGTCCATTGTTTTTTTTATGGTTGCGGTAGTTTTTCAGTAGAGTCAACGATGCCAAAACTGGTTAATGTGGTCAAATAGATCCAAGGAAATATTGTATTAATTAATGAAATCGTAAACGTCTACTACAGATCGGTGTCGTGAACTAAATGCTGTTAGTGGTTCTGTGGTTTGGTAACAACTGATTAAATGTGTCGGCGCCCAACTTTCGGTACAAAGTTTTGACCTAAATGCTATATCTGTAGGCCTATTACAGAATTATTTTGTTGATAACTCAACAAATATTTCTCCAGTTCTTTAATATCCGGAGTATTGCATTGTTAAAATGGCTAAACACTGACTCGGTAGTCGAGATTGGACTATTGTTTTTAGAACTTACCAGCTATTCCACTAAAATCGGCGCCATCTGTATGTATGACATCAACAAAGGTAGCATCAGTTTTATCCAGATAATGATAACTAGGGAACGTGTCAAAAAGAGGCTGGGCTGGATCCAAACCTGCAAGGAGTATTAACGGTAAAGTAAATTAGGTAATCAAGGTAGATTTTACAAAACCTGGCTGCAGAATTTTGCAGTTAATAAATTATTCCATGAGTAACACCAGAGTGCAGAGTATTGAAGTAGTCTAGTCTGATGTGACATGCGATGATTTATTCATCAGAATTGTTTACAGGGCGGCGGTGATCAAAAGGGAGATAACCATTCCACTTTAATATACGTGTATAGTCGTTCATACCTGATATTCGTCCTATTTTATTGACTTTATTTCCAACTATTCCACATAACTGGGCGCCGAGACTATGTCCAATAAGATGTATATCATTATAGTTGACATGCTTAGTTGTATGAAGGTTCTTAATAAAGAGGGCTGTCTGCTCTCCCACCAAGAAAGTGTTCGCTGTAGCCTGTTCGTAGGGAAACTGAGAACCATGGCCCCAATCTATCAAAAATATGTTATAATCACCCTGTAAATATAAAATACTAACATTTTAATAATTACCCTTTCTGAATGGTTTTCTTCAAGATGAAGATGTTGGGGTATGAAATGAAATTTATCATGAACTACCCGGCAAAAGAATCCAGTTTTATCTATACAATGATGTTGCAATAAGTTTAAATATTATCAGAAAACATTCGAAAAAACATACCCTTTGTACACATCGCAGTCACTGATTGTCATATATGCTGAATTAGGTGCAGTCACGAAAAATCGTAAAACGGTTGTGGCTATTTTCTCGAGATGCACGTGCATGACAATTCGCCCCTGGGGCGGCAACGGCATCGGGACACCCCATCTCTTTGTTATCAGAGCCTACCGCCATTTTTAAGAATGGTCTTGAGCCGTCAACGCGGGAACTGTACGTGATTGGCGACGTGTGCTCTTCGCAGATGAAAGTCGCTTCAACCTGTTCAGAAATGGAGTCCAGTTTCGTGTTTATGGCTGTAGAGAGAACCGACTGCCACCAAACTACATTCAAGATGTTCATCCATATGGTAGAGGTGGCGTTATGATATGGGGAGGGGTTTGTGACCAGCAGTGAACAAGGATTGTTTTCATCCCTGGAAACTGACTGGCCCAAGATACAGAGATTAAGTCTGAAAGTGAAACCCTGTGGCAGTGGCATACCTGCAACAGCAACACAGTGTTGTCATATTATGTTAATGTCAACACATTGCACAGGCAGATCATAATTTAAAACATTTTTAGTAATGATTAAACTATTAAAGTGAGATACGAGCAAGGGATGGCTACTCAAACGTCTTTTTATAAGTTTCTCTGGTCAGATTTAACAATTTTCCTTTTCAGGTCATTCAATCATTCGTTATGGGTGGGAATTTTATCTGCACTTCAACTTAGTATTATTATTTCTGTATTTCCTAAAGGTAAAAATCTCTTAGAAAGGCCGTGACATAGAAAAAAACTTGTTTGGATATAATCATTGATTGGGACTAAAGAAAGATGTCTCGAAAATCTACGTTTCAAAATTTTTAAAATGGCAGATGTAAAATGATTGATATATTAGCATTCAAAAACATGGTTTAGGAGATATTAAAACAATTAAACCACTTCCTTGGCAAAATTGTTAGGTGCTGATTTACCAGATAAAACAGTTATTCTCTCTTTCGGAGATGATAATTTTGTATAATTAAGCGTACAAATTTGTCGTTCTGACAAAAATGTTTTTGCGTAAATTATATTAAAAGCGATATAATGTAATATTTCTACGCTCGCCATTTTGGTTCAAGTCATATGAAAATAAATAATAAAAGGATATATTTTAATGTTTGACATGAGAAAGGAATAACATATGTATATAATCTTCTCGATACTACCCATTTACCCTCAAAATATTTATCGTTAAGTTTGTTAAAAAAAACCCAACCTAATCCGAATATTCATGGGAATTATATCTGGTAATAAGTATACTTTTAAACTTACTACAAAATTCATCCCGAATAGCAGAATTGTATCCCAATCTGATTAAAACACAGATCCTATTTCGTTTCGTTTTTTATAGTTCAAAATTTCATTTTATAGTTCTGGGTGGCGTGAGGGATTAGCCAATGAAACCATCTGTTATGGCGATTTCTTGGCGTGCCATGCACAGAACTGTCGGTAAACACTAGAAGTCAGCACTGATTGATTAATCAATGTCTGAAGTCATAGGGTCAAAAAACCGGTCGTACGACCCTGAAGCGACCTTCCAGTACAACTGGTCAGATCTTCATGTAGTGTAGGCTATCGAAAGTATAAAAAAACGAAACGAAATATAGATCTGTATTTTAATCAGATTGAATTATATCTGGGAATAAACTTAAATCTACAAGGATGGGTTCAGATTTATAAGTACATGTATACTTTTTAACTTACTACCAAATCTAGCCCGAATAGCAGAATTATTTTTACTAATAAAGTTTTAGCTAAAATTGGAATAATTAATGTATTCTTGCAAACTGTGTGGTTGTGTGATACATTAGGACTAACAACATATATATTTAAACGAGCCCATGCCACAAAAATCTTTTATATCAGGCTTGTTTATCACGTGATTTGATTGGTGGAGAATCCTTACCCAGCTTGTATTTGTCGTTTTTCGCTGAACAAATAGAACAAAAACTAATTAACCATCATTATTATGTCTTTAGTCCAACCTCACCTCAACTCAACACAGCCATGCCATTACATGACTAGCATATAGTGTAGTCTACTGATCAAATATAAATAAAGTTTACAAATAAACAATATTTTTGACAAGATATTAAACCGTATTCAAACCCATTTCATTTTACTATCGATTATTCTAATAAATCACTATTCCAGTTGTCATTTAATTTTCCCATTTATGAAAGGATGAATATTTCAAATCAAAGTTGATCTGTATGACATGACCCGCAACGACAACCTATCATATAGAGTATAGCTAAAACAACACAAAATAAGGAAAGAAATTTAGAAATTGTTAACAAGTCTACCTGATTGAGAAGTGAATCCTTCATAGAGATAAGCCACCCTTTATTTCCATGGTCCATAAATCCATGAGCAATAAACTTAGTTGGGCGTGAACTGCTGAAATGTGAAGAACCGATCTTTTTAGTCCATGTGGAGTGTGGATCTGTAGCTTTCACAACTGTAGCCGAGTTACGATTCTGGCGAGTATAGAGCAAATACGATGTCTGAACAACTTTAGGATCTTGGGGAAGGTTTTTAAAATTTGCCGAGGTTTGAAAACATCCTAGATCACCATAGCAGGCTGACTCTCGCTTATCTTTGGTGGATGTTGAGACTACAACCACAAAGGCCAGGAGCAAGCCTATCACACGAATAACAATCTTCATTCTCAGGATCGTGCGTCTTAAGGTTAACTTTCGCTGAGACTGATCTATCCTTGTACAGCGTTTTTATAAAGGTATTTCCAAGTGTCTGCACTTTTCTTTTGGACAAGAGACAATCCCGTCGGTGTCACCAATACTGTAAAAAAAAACAACAGATGTTCACAGTAGGTTAATAAGATGTTGCTTCTCCCAAAGTGATAAGACGGTGATAAGGTATGTCCAATGAGTTTCGTTAAAGAGAGGGAGTGGAAATAAATGAGGTCACATAAAATCAAATATTCTTCTCGCTAATTTAGGTGTTTCGTTCTGTTGGAAATAGTTTGCTTGCACCAAAGCGAATTGCTTGAAGAGCACATAAAATGACCATATGAAAGCGGCATGCCCATGAAGACCATGTAATGTTTATTTTATATACTTTGCACCAATTTTATTAAAATTCTTAATTCGATATATCTACAGTCGTAAATACAGACCTACCGTAAATACGATTTTGCCGATCATTATCTAAAACACTGTAAGGTTTCCCAAACACCAGAGACCAAATGTATTATTGCAGCGTGTACAAGTATGTAAATTCTAATTTTACAAAACCTGTACCGATAATCTGGAATTCGGCTAATCCTTCTGAATGCGACAATTACAGACCAGTTTCCCTTTTGAGCATCATTGCTTATGTAACGTCGTTATCTAGCATGCATTAAATACAATACAAATACTTTCAGAATGGCATTTCAAAATTGTCATTCCATGTCGCGAACAATCTTCAAATAATCACTAATAATAGTCACAAAAATACTTCTACTTGTTAAATATTTCAAGTCTTACTTCTACAATAATATCATTACTCTGATGTTCATGCTACCACAATATAGATACACAGATTCATTGTCAATAATTTCCTGGTTTTGTACCACTAAATAATGTTATGTCCCTATTTAGAATTGTTCTCTTTTTTTAACTTTAAACTTGGTGATCCTTAAAATTAACACTTCTACAAATTCCTCTCCAGAACCATATCTGCTTGCATACCGGAACTCCTCTGACTGGTTCGTCTTTACTGTGCTTTAAGATAGAGTATATTACCATCCCTTGTTTTAAGATTTGCGTTAGCTATTTGTTAGGAGACCCACTGAAAACTTTATATTTTCTAACCCAACGTCCATATAATTATATAATTATTCAGGCAACATGCAAATATATACGATTACTATACGATTAAACACACAAGATTACATATGATCAACAGTCTGCTTCAATCTGTTTCAAGAATAAAAGTATCGAAGAAAAACTTTAACCTAAACACAGAAACATATAACTAAAATGTTCATAATTTCTCCACGTGTCCTAATTTCAAAATACTATTACACTACACTTAATATTGTTAAAGTTCGATTTCACTTTAACTTCGGCAATTCATCATCTTGGATTTCCATTTGTCTGTTTCAGCTACCATCGTCTCAACATCAAAACTTTTCTTTTCTTGTAAGTTAAGGTAAAAGTCCCGACTTGAAGAATTTTCAGTCGGCACTTCTTTTGACGACTTGCATTGGGACAAATTCATTCAGCCTCAAATCAAACATGTCATTGTCATCAGACCAAAAACTAAGTATTCCTAATTTCAAACTTTATTTCAATATTAGTCTAACATTATTTCTAAACCTTATTACTAACTCTTACTCTTAATTAAAGGAGCTAAATCGCTTATATTTTGGATCTAGAAATTGACACAAATGGGTCGAAACGCATATAATAATGTAATGTGAATGTATATAAACTGATTTATATTCAATCGTTTCTGTTTTTACTGTAATTTCTAACCAGTTATGTTCGGCGAAATACGCCAGAAGTCTCAATCCAATGTCAATCTCTAGCGTCTGGTTATTCCACTCTATACCGATAGTATTTATTGCGCATGCTCTCCAGATAAGAATATGGCGTCACCGTTTGACATCTAGTACTCCAGCCTCTTTCTACGAGTCCCTTGTTAAAAATGGAACTGAAATGCACCATGGTACACGATTTGAGTACCAACGGTAAAATTTTTAAATTGACAAATAATTCGTGTTTTCAATGTCGAAGATTTTGGATGATATTGAGTTAGAGACTTAGCAACTTTAAAATTCACTTCATTTAACTTCTTTAATCATCAGAATTCTAAAACAGTATTAAATTACCTTTGACCTTAACTCATTAATTTACCATTTTGATTTCCGGTGTTACATAAGGCCACAGACCACTAATGATTTTCCCATTGACTTTAATGTTAATTCTTGTCTCTTAGACCGGCTCTAACTTTTTCCCAAATTTTCGTTGGGTTGCAACATGTGGCAACCTCTTGCCCAAAAGCACGTATGAGGTTCTTTATGAAAAACTTGAGATACACAAGCTGGAAGTTTCGGTCCTACATTTCAAGCCAGTGATATTTCAACCTAACCAACCTCTCAACTCTTGTATCTTTCCGCCTCAAAATCATGAATATTCACCAAAACCTGGCAGAAAATGTATTTTAAAACCCTTTCCTTCCTTTCTACACCAAAAAGTCAACAAAAATCGCCATGCAAAGGGGGGTAAAAAGGGAAAGAGGGAGAAAGACTAAAAGTAACTTTCTCCCTACATTCGTGACCGCGTAGGAATATTTGGTGAGCTGTGTCCATTAGCAAGGATGCCACACAAACATGGCCTCTATTTAAATAACATCCTATTTTTTCTAGAACTATATCCACGGCGAATGGTGTGCACCAGACGCAACCCACACATAGGTTCAACCATTAATAACTTAAAAATTCATTACATTACTAATGTTCTTTATCTGTTAGTATTACCTCATTAACAAATGATCTTCAATTGATTACTTTGATCGTATCTGGTTATTGTTAAGGCATTCCACCTGTGCTATAAACCCATCGTTATCATTGGGTCTATAAGATAGAATTGATTTACCTTTTCAACATGTGAGAAACTAGTCTAGGGCGCACGAGAGATTCTGCTAACGTTAATAAATCAAATTGGACAGGTACGCCCCTTTTTCTAAAAACCTTATAGATACTCTCTATTAACATTTTAAACGGTTTTTTGTGAGTGAATTCATTTCTTTTCGGAATTCAAGCAAAACCGCATTTATTTAATTATCAAACAGCGTCTTGAAATAAATGTGATCACTATTTATTTCAAGATCAAATTGTATTATACTCATGGCTCTAATAACCAATCAAACATACCCGTAAGTTATTATTATTTCTTTTTTTCAACACATTTAACAATTGACTAATAAGTTCGTGACTTTTCCTTTGATTTTGTTTTACGTATACACTACGCATGGCATATCCGAGAATTCAAAATTTATTCGACAGCTAACCGCACATTCAAATACAACTTTAAATCACCCATTTTACCATGGTATGTTTTCCCGCTTTTAACTCATACTTTGAATTTATTCTCCTTTATACAATTTTTTGCAAAACAGTACGAATAATCCGGAAACAGTTACAGTATACCAGTGCGCTAGCTACACGTTATTTTGCAAGGCACACTGTTTCACTTTGAACGTTCATTTAGAACCTAATACCGACCCACACGCTATCGCGCGAATAAAAAAGAGCCATTCTGTTCCAAATTTACCTTGGGCATTTCCTTTACCCTAAAACCTAAACGCTACTCGCGATTTACACATTTTTTGGTCTGTTAAACAAATTTACATGTTGAATTTTCAGAAAAGATGCTTTTATCCATTGGCTGAATATTTCCACCAACTCTGTTTTCTTCCAAATTTCTTTTATCCCTTAAAGGTCGATTCTGCCTTACGACTCCAAAACAAATATGTAGTACTATACAGTGCAATGAGTCGCTGGTTAGATGTGGAAAGGCAGGCTACCAAAAAGCTGCCCGCATACAACGTGTGACGCATACTCTCTTCTCTGTTACATATGTTACGTCAATGGCGCCAAAAAGCGAAGTACGGGGACACTACGGGGACAGATGTGACTTTAATCAGAAAACGGCCCGCGACACTAGGGTGACACTTATCTAGTCAGCACTTTCACGCTGTATATAAACTATTTCTATTGATCAATTGACTCTGGAACACTTTGTTGGTTTTTACATTTTTATAACATCCATAATACAACGGTTATATACAGGAGGACGGGTGTCCACGTGTCTAAAGCATGTGATTGCCATATTTGGACTACCAGACTATGATGTCATTGCCCAATTTTAATCTACCAGACATATCCTTGTTAGCATAGTTCTCGTTACCACGGCACCAGCTAACGACTTCAATACATTAACCAGATCATCTCCCAGAGAACTTAAACAACCTCTACAGCATATAGGCCCTATAGTATTACAGAGTGTAAGTATACGAGGGCTGTTTTCTGAGACAACAGCAAGGCATTTGGCAGAGTGTGAGAAAAACTTGGGCGGCTGGAATCAGAGGAAACTTGCTTCGGTGGTTCAAAATATATTTGTATAACAGAAAGCAAAGCGTCGTTGTAAGTGTAGTCTCCTCTGATCCTAACATCGTCCCTGCCCTGTCCTCGACCCCCATCTCCTTATTAAGAACATACGTTCGAATATTCCACTTATTTGTATATGACACTATCTTATAATTATCTAATAATTGATGACCCAACCACATGCGCAACTTTCTTAAATATGATATTAAACCCACTGAAAACTGAATCTTGCACTGACTACTAAATGAGATCCAATGTTACTTGCACCATATTTACACGGTATTCATAAAGGAAGTTTATCATCACAATCATTGGGGATTGACTTTTCAGAAAAATGATGGGATGGGCGCTAAGACGAACTAAAAATTAAATTAAAAGACTTACAACTGGATGCACTCCAGACTCTATGCGAAATGTAAAGTGTACCAGCCACAGGTTACTATATGAAGAAACGGGGTTTATCTCCCTGCAAGAGAGGCGTGGGCGTCACAAACTCATCTTAATGTACAAAATTATTAATCAGACAGCTTCTCCATACCTTTACAATTTAATCCAGTTTTACCAAACTTTTTGTAATCTCCGTAGCAATAATTTAACCGATTACTTTATACCTTCTACGATAAAAGGGTGGAATAATCTAGATCAAAGTATTAAAAATTCGA